TTTTTCATTAATGTTAATGTAGAAATTTTTAATTTTGCACCAAAAGAATCTTAGAAAACTTACCTAACTTATTATAACAAGAACAATTTATTTTAGCCTAACCCAACTATATATATTTTAGATATGTGTACAATAATTTAATACTAAACAAACACAATTGAATATATTTTTTTCGTTAGGTTCAGAAGGATTTTGGCGAAATTATTGCATACACAAGTTTTCGCTTGTCCTATATGGCAAGATGAACGTTGCTATTTAAGCCAAGATCGCAAGTTCTGCCTATTCGGCACGACATATATATATATATATATATTTATATATATATATATATATATATATATATGTACATATATATATATATATTATATATATATATATATATATATATATATATATATATATATATATATATATATTATATATATATATATATATAATATATATATATATATATATATATATATATATATATATATATATTATTGTGACCACGAACGAGTGGTATTGAACAAAAGAACACTGGACTAGCCAAGGACTCGAACCCATGCTGCTTTGGCCTGCCTCATGGTGGGCGAAAACACATGACGCCCTAATCCACTGGACCATACGATCCTTAAGAGTAGAGCATCCAGCGGCACTGGATGTTGTACTCGCTAACCAAGGACACGCGATGGTGTGAATAACTCTAGGCTAATTTCGTTCTAGTCCCTGTTTGTCTCTACGTCCACAGCAGGACTCGAACCTGCTAACTCTGCATCAGAGTTCACAGTACTTTACCACGAGACTAGACCTGCGATAAGTATGGGTTAACATCGGTTAACATGGGTTAACATCGCTAAGCGATGTTAACCCATATCCCCGGGTATCAAGCTCGTTTGGAAAGTTATTTCATCAAATCCTGCCACTTGCAGTGGACAACGAAAGAGATTTGAAATGCTTAACAATTCGCAATCAGGCGAAATTATTTACAAACATTGTCTCTACGTCGACAACATATACATACCATCCCTACACATGACATCAGTATACATAACACCGTAGATAACATCAGTATACATAACATTATAGATAACATCAGTATACATAACATCATAGAAAACATCGGTATACATAACTTAGATAACATCAGTATACATAACATCAGTATAGATGACATCAGCATACATAACATCAGTATAGATGACATCAGTATACATAACATCAGTATAGATGACATCAGTATACATAACATCAGTATAGATGACATCAGTATACATAACATAGATAACATCAGCATACATAACATTATAGATAACATCAGTATACATAACATTATAGATAACATCAGTATACATAACATTATAGATAACATCAGTATACATAACATTATAGCTAACATCAGTATACATAACATTATAAATAACATCAGTATAGATAACATCAGTATACATAACATTATAGATAACAACAGTATCCATAACATTATAGATAACATCAGTATACATAACATTATAGCTAACATCAGTATACATAACATTATAAATAACATCAGTATAGATAACATCAGTATACATAACATTATAGATAACATCAGTATACATAACATTATAGATGACATCAGTATACATAACATCAGTATCTATGACATCAGTATACATAACATAGATAACATCAGTATACATAACATTATAGATAACATCAGTATACATAACATTATAGATAACATCAGTATACATAACATTATATATAACATCAGTATACATAACATTATAGCTAACATCAGTATACATAACATTATAGCTAACATCAGTATACATAACATTATAAATAACATCAGTATAGATAACATCAGTATACATAACATTATAGATAACATCAGTATACATATCATTATAGATAACATCAGTATACATAACATTATAGATAACATCAGTATACGTAACATTATAGATAACATCAGTATACATAACATTATAGATAACATCAGTATACGTAACATTATAGATAACATCAGTATACATAACATTATAGATAACATCAGTATACGTAACATTATAGATAACATCAGTATACATAACATTATAGATAACATCAGTATACGTAACATTATAGATAACATCAGTATACGTAACATTATAGATAACATCAGTATACATAGCATTATAGATAACATCAGTATACGTAACATTATAGATAACATCAGTATACATAACATTATAGATAACATCAGTATACGTAACATTATAGATAACATCAGTATACATAACATTATAGATAACATCAGTATACATAACATTATAGATAACATCAGTATACGTAACATTATAGATAACATCAGTATACATAACATTATAGATAACATCAGTATACGTAACATTATAGATAACATCAGCATACATAACATTATAGATAACATCAGTATACGTAACATTATAGATAACATCAGTATACATAACATTATAGATAACATCAGTATAGATAACATTATAGATAACATCAGTATAGATAACATCAGTATACATAACATTATAGATAACATCAGTATACATAACATTATAGATAACATCAGTATACATATCATTATAGATAACATCAGTATACATAACATTATAGATAACATCAGTATACGTAACATTATAGATAACATCAGTATACATAGCATTATAGATAACATCAGTATACATATCATTATAGATAACATCAGTATACATAACATTATAGATAACATCAGTATAGATAACATTATAGATAACATCAGTATAGATAACATCAGTATACATAACATTATAGATAACATCAGTATACGTAACATTATAGATAACATCAGTATACGTAACATTATAGATAACATCAATATACATAACATTATAGATAACATCAGTATACATAACATTATAGATAACATCAGTATACATAACATTATAGATAACATCAGTATAGATAACATTATAGATAACATCAGTATACATAACATTATAGATAACATCAGTATACATAACATTATAGATAACATCAGTATACATAACATTATAGATAACATCAGTATACATAACATTATAGATAACATCAGTATACATAATAGTTACACTAAGCTTGCTAGCAGAGTGTTGACTGTGTTAACAAGGAGGTAAGAGAGAAAGTCTAGAGTGACTCCATCTCCACACTACAGTAGCTACTGGGAGGTCCTTCACTACAAAGACCACGATAGTATGTGAAGAATGTCAGTCAATATCCAGGTATCGTAAACGCCTTGGGGGTATTTGGTTAATGGGGGTTTAAAGCCTATCGACTACACCAGCTCAGTCAAGCTGCGAGGTACCTTCACCAATCAAGAATATTTTAATCCCTAATTTCAATATATATAATGTTAGAGAAACACACATGTCGGTGTATACATACTGTGTAAATGTTTTAAACGGAAATGCTATCACATCGAAAAATGAAAAATGCTTTTTTCAAAACCAGGGCAAAAATAATGAAGGGAAATGTAATATATATATATCTTCAAACTTAATTAAGTCCTTTCAGCCAAAGGAATTTTATGAATGGAAAGTTTGAAGATTGCGACCTGCGTTGAATTTTATTACTGGCTGGTCGTAATGGCTATTGTACCTCACAAACCAAATAATTATTGTACCTCACAAAGTAATTATTGTACATCACAAACCAAGTAATTATTGTACCTCACGAACCAAGTAATTATTGTACCTCACAAACCAAGTAATTATTGTACCTCACAAAGTAATTATTGTATCTCACAAACCAAGTAATTATTGTACCTCACAAACCAAGTAATTATTGTACCTCACAAAGTAATTATTGTATCTCACAAACCAAGTAATTATTGTACCTCACAAACCAAGTAATTATTGTACCTCACAAAGTAATTATTGTATCTCACAAACCAAGTAATTATTGTACCTCACAAACCAAGTAATTATTGTACCTCACAAAGTAATTATTGCATCTCACAAACCAAGTAATTATTGTACCTCACAAAGTAATTATTGTACCTCACAAACCAAGTAATTATTGTACTTCACACACAAAGTAATTATTGTACCTCACAAACGAAGTAATTATTGTACCTCACATGCGAAGTAATTATTGTACCTCACAAACCAAGTAATTATTGTACTTCACACACGAAGTAATTATTGTACCTCACAAACCAAGTAATTATTGTACTTCACACACGAAGTAATTATTGTACCTCACAAACCAAGTAATTATTGTACTTCACAAACAAAGTAATTATTGTACCTCACAAACAAAGTAATTATTGTACCTCAAACGAAGTAATTATCGTACCTCACAGACAAGAAATATAATGATTGTACTTCACAAACAAGAAGATAATTATTGTACCTCACAAATGAAGTAATTATTGTTCCTCACAAACAGGAAGATAATTATTGTACCTCACAAACGAAGTAATTATTGTGCCTCACAAACAAGATGCATAATTATAGTACCTCACAAACAAAACATAAAACTTTCATACCTCACAAGCAAAACAATTGTCGCACCTCATTAAACAACTCATAATTGTCGTACCTTACAAACAGCACTATATAATCATCGTACCTTACAAGCGAGAAATTATACTCATTACATATTACAGAGGAAATGTATAATTATCAAACCTTAAAAACCAAATGTATAATTATCGTACTTTAAAAGACCTATAATTATTCGCACATTACAACAGTATCCTATAATTATCTTACCTTACAAATTATAGAATCTAACAATCTCTATAATTATCGCATTTTACAGCAAATCTTATCATAACTTAAAAATCATCGTACAACAGAACACACGTAATTATAGCATCTGACCTCCCCCCCCCTCCACCAAAATCAACAACAATCGCACCTTTCAGCCAGCACGTATAATTATCGTACCATACAAAGAGAATGTATAATTGGGTGAGGTAGGGGAGAGTTATCGCACCTCCGAGGTGCGTGTGCTGGCTGGTGGGTGCTGCTGCAAGCATCAGTTAGTAGGAGCATGAAGCTCAACAGGTGTGTTAGTGTCTGCTACTCACTCCCTCCCTCGCTCTCCAGAAACACCCCCTGACCATCCACTCACTGTACTCGTTACCTCGTCCCTCGTTGCTTCCAGCAGCGCAGAGTGCCGTGAGAGAGCACATACCAGCGCTGGGGCGATGAAAAGCGCCGGCATTCATCGCTGATAAGGAAGGCAGGGGAAAGATTTTTGTGTGTGTGGGTGTAACTGTACGCTGCCGCATGCAAGTGCGTTTTGCATTGTTGAGAGAGAGAGGGAAAAAAAAGTCCAGAAGTCGTTATATAGGACGAGGCAATAGATTTTCGCGTGACCAAGACAATGATTGATCGGATGTGTGGGGGTTCAAGTGAGAGGTTGACCAGTGCAACTTGCAGTCAGACCCGTACGAAGGTGGAGGTCTGAATATATTAATTAACTTGTCTGTCTCTACTACACCACCATCACTGCACCAGTGATACCGTCACTGCACTAGTGCTGCCGTCACTGCACTAGTGCTGCCGTCACTGCACTAGTGCTGCCGTCACTGCACTAGTGCTGCCGTCACTGCACTAGTGCTGCCGTCACTACACTAGTACTGCTGTCACTGCACCAATGATACAGTCGCTGCACTACTGCTGCCGTCACTGCACTAGTACTGCTGTCACTACACCAGTGATACCGTCACTGCACTAGTGCTGCCGTCACTACACTAGTACTGCTGTCACTGCACCAGTGATACCGTCACTGCACTAGTGCTGCCGTCACTGCACTAGTGCTGCCGTCACTACACTAGTACTGCTGTCACTGCACCAATGATACAGTCGCTGCACTACTGCTGCCGTCACTACACTAGTACTGCTGTCACTGCACCAATGATACAGTCACTGCACTAGTGCTGCCGTTATTGCACCAGTGCTACAGTCACTGCACTAGTGCTGCCGTCACTGCGCTAGTACTGCTGTCACTGCACCAGCGATACCGTCACTGCACTAGTGCTGCCGTCACTGCACTAGTACTGCTGTCACTGTACCAGTGATACCGTTACTGCACTAGTGCTGCCGTCACTACACTAGTACTGCTGTCACTGCACCAATGATACAGTCACTTCTCTAGTGCTGACGTTAGTGCACCAGTGCTACAGTCACTGCATTAGTGCTGCCGTCACTGCACTAGTACTGCTGTCACTGCACCAGTGATACCGTCACTGCACTATTGCTGCCGTTATTGCACCAGTGCTACAGTCACTGCACCAGTGATACCATCACTGCACTAGTGCTGCCGTCACTACACTAGTACTGCTGTCACTGCACCAGTGATACCGTCACTGCACTAGAGCTGCCGTTATTGCACCAGTGCTACAGTCACTGCACCAGTGATACCATCACTGCACTAGTGCTGCCGTCACTACACTAGTACTGCTGTCACTGCACCAGTGATACCGTCACTGCACTAGTGCTGCCGTTATTGCACCAGTGCTAGAGTCACTGCACCAGTGATACCGTCACTGTACTAGTGCTGCCGTCACTGCACTAGTGCTGCTGTCGCTGCATAAGTAATACCATCACTGCACCAGTGATACCGTCACTGCACTGGTGCTGCCGTTATTGCACCAGTGCTACCATCACTGCAACAGTTCCGTCACTGCACAAATGCTACCGTCACTGCTCAAGTGCTACCGTCACTGCACCAGTGGTTTCATCACTACACCAGTGATACCGTCACTGCATTAATAGCATCATCACTGCACCAGTACTGCCCTCCCTTCACCAGTGTTACCGTCACTGCATCAGTACTACTACTATCACTACACAAGTGCTGCCATTACTGCCTCAGCGCCATCATTGTAGCAGTGCCATAATCACTGCACCTGTGCTACCGTCACTGCATCAGTGCTACCATTACTGCACGAGTGCTACTAAACTACACCAGTGCTACCGTCACTGCACCAGTGCTACCGTCACTGCACCAGTGCTACTGTCACTGCACCAGTGCTACTGCCACTGCAGCAGTGCTACCGTCACTGCACCAGTGCTACCGTCACTGCACCAGTGCTACTGTCACTGCACCAGTGCTACCGTCACTGCACAAGTGCTACAGTCACTGCACCAGTGCTACCGACATTGTATAAGTGCTACCATCACTGCACCAGTACTACCATCACTGCACCAGTACTACCATCACTGCACAACTGCTACCATTACTGCCTCAGTGCCACCATCACTGTAACAGTGCCACTTCAGTATATATAATCCTACCGTCCCATATTGTTTCCTCTTGTGGACATTACAATATTCAAATGTTTCTTTAGTTCATGTAGCGACCACTTGTACTCCCCAAGACTCTCTGATAGCTGTTGTTGACTGTACTGTAAGAGAGTCCTCTTTATGTAACGTTTTCTCACCCAAAGTGAGTGGTATTGTGAGAATTAGTTATCATCTTACAGGGTGATATATACGTGCTTACCAGGCTCCCCCTTGTGACGTCTCTTTTAAGCACCTCTTTCAGCTTTTTGTTCTGTTTAAGGATTGAACATGTTCAACCAGTCTTTTCTGATTTCTTCATTACCTTCCTGTCAACCCACCTTACTATGTTATAAGATCTCATTAAGATAGGAAATTTGCAGTGTGTGTTTATCTTAACCACCTGCGTCAGTCAACCCACAGTTCCTGGTTGGTATTTCTTGAGCCTTTATGAATCTGTAAAGACTCGCCTTCACCTCAACTCATCACAGAGACTGTAACTTTCTCTTGTTTTAAGTTTATGTTCGGAGAAAGTTGCCTTTAGCTATTACCTTCCCTCTGTGGCTCCTAGCCTTCCAGTCTACTAGAAGGCTAGCTTTCTTTCCCTCTCTCTCTGACGTAGGCTAAGGAGATGTGTGCCCCTCACCCTCGATAGTAAATAGATGCCATTCCTTTACCTTGGATAGCAAGGGATGCCTGTCCCTCATCCTGGATAGCTAGGGGATGCCTATCCCTCACCCTGGATAGTCAAGAGGAGTCACGGTGCCCCCGCGGGGGTAGGGAGGCCAGGATGTGTTCCTCCCTAGCCTCGGGGAGCCTGGACGGGGGCGGCCCACCCCCACGACCCACCACCACTGCAGCAGACGTCAAGATGAGACGTTTCACCCTTCCCAACCTCTTCCTCACTGTAGAAGGTCAAGACCGCAAACTCGAGGAGATATGTCCAGGAATCTACGAGTATACTGGTGAGTCACTGAGGGTATATTTCAAGAGTCGGTGTGAATCAAACAGCACTGAGTTATATATATATATATATATATATATATATATATATATATATATATATATATATATATATATATATATATATATATATATATATATATATATAATATATATATATATATATATATATATATATATATATATATATATATATATATATATATATATATATATATATATATATATATATATATTCATACATATATATGTGACGAGTGTATTTGTGTATAATAAATATTTTAAATTCAGTTTCATATATAATGTTTGTTAAAGACTTCGGATAAAAATATTAATACCTGGTGTTTGATACACCAGGTTGATCTTAGTCTTACAGGTCACCAACTACCTGGTGTTTGATACACCAGGTTGATCTTAGTCTTACAGGTCACCAACTACCTGGTGTTTGATACACCAGGTTGATCTTAGTCTTACAGGTCACCAACTACCTGGTGTTTGATACACCAGGTTGATCTTAGTCTTACAGGTCACCAACTACCTGGTGTTTGATACACCAGGTTGATCTTAGTCTTACAGGTCACCAACTACCTGGTGTTTGATACACCAGGTTGATCTTAGTCTTACAGGTCACCAACTACCTGGTGTTTGATACACCAGGTTGATCTTAGTCTTACAGGTCACCAACTACCTGGTGTTTGATACACCAGGTTGATCTTAGTCTTACAGGTCACCAACTACCTGGTGTTTGATACACCAGGTTGATCTTAGTCTTACAGGTCACCAACTACCTGGTGTTTGATACACCAGGTTGATCTTAGTCTTACAGGTCACCAACTACCTGGTGTTTGATACACCAGGTTGATCTTAGTCTTACAGGTCACCAACTACCTGGTGTTTGATACACCAGGTTGATCTTAGTCTTACAGGTCACCAACTACCTGGTGTTTGATACACCAGGTTGATCTTAGTCTTACAGGTCACCAACTACCTGGTGTTTGATACACCAGGTTGATCTTAGTCTTACAGGTCACCAACTACCTGGTGTTTGATACACCAGGTTGATCTTAGTCTTACAGGTCACCAACTACCTGGTGTTTGATACACCAGGTTGATCTTAGTCTTACAGGTCGCCAACATTCATGATTAAATTTTTTTTTATTAATAAAGCAATGAAATTAGAAGCTACAAATGCTCACTAATATATTAAATCTTCCAGTACGATAATGTGTTACTGGAAGGTTGAGATCAGTCAGAAGAAGCTTTTTTATCCTAGTTATCTCACAGAATCAATGAGATTCCGAGAATATTGGAGAATTTGTACTAACACATCGTAGAGATTTACATCCTTTAACATACATCAGTTTTTAATTATTGAAGATTTTAGGGGTGGCATAGCCAAGATATTTTATTCGAGAAATGCTAGAGCCATTTAATAGTTAAGGTGGAAAACTGTTACTTGCACACTCTAAGACGATCACCTAAATAAGACACACAAGTACTGAAATTTTGAAGTAAACTGGAAACGTCTTTCCCAATTTTCTTAATGGAAAGAAAATCCGGAAATGGGTTAATATAACTTTGACCAGAGGGCGTCCGTACATGGCAATAGTTGCGTGAATCTACAGTATGCCAGCGTTAAAAATTTGATGTCGGTCGGATAAGGCGTTCTCGAGTTATAATAGAAAACTTCACAGGCAGACAAGAAAAATGTATTTAAAAGTGTAACTAAAATTTACGAAAACATGATAGTAGTGTATATAGGTGGCTCACTGAACTCGCCGCTCTGAAAAACATCATAAAAACGTCAGTTTTCAGTATTTTTCCATTCTCTTTACACTTTTATTTTATTTAAATTCTTTAACATCGTGTATATATATATATATATATATATATATATATATATATATATATATATATATATATATATATATATATATATATATATATATATATATAATATATATATATATATATATACGCATCACTCTCTCCACTGGACCACCATCCTTAAACACCAGGCATCCAGCAGTACTGTGTTATCTTGATGCAAGGACATCCGTGGTCGTGGAGCCTCGGAGACTAATTTCAACCTCATCCTGTCTGGATATATCTATGTCTATATATCTTGTCTATATATCTATGAAATCACGAAACAAGTGATTTTGAATCATTAACAGAACTGTAGTTTGGCCAGGACTCGATCCTGCGTTCCCATGCCCAACCCTGTGTGAACTGATCGCCTGGTGTTTAATTAAGGATGGTGGTCCTGTGAAGAAAGTGATTCATACTTTGTTCATTTCACACAGGATTGGGCATGGGAACGCAGGATCGAGTCCTGGACAAGCCGCAGTTTTGTTAATGATTCAAAATCACTTGTTTCGTGATTTCATTGATATGTGTGTGTGTGTGTGTGTGTGTGTGTGTGTGTGTGTGTGTGTGTGTGTGTGTGTGTGTGTGTGTGTGTGTGTGTGTGTGTGTGTGTAAGTGTGTGTGTGTGTGTGTATGTGTATGTGTGTGTGTGTGTGTGTGCACAAAACTTGTGCCTGTACGAACAATATCGCTCAAAGTAGGGGGTATACTGTGGCTGGTCACAGCACTCATTCTTGCCAACTGGTCAGAGAACTAACTCTTCTGAAAACTGATTTCGGTGGTGGTGGTCGACAGCTTGCAATAGATATTGCAGTTGTTCTTAATTCTTGGTGTGCTTTCCACACTATTATTGAATTAGATCAACCCCTCCTTCAGCATTGTCCTTGATAACCTTAATGTTTCCCACCTTCCGGAGAATCTTTCGGAAATTTTCATCTGAGTCTCAATTTGATGGACGTTTTCGCAAGAAAATGAGTTGATTTTGAGGTTCTGAATAAGCTTGAGGGAGTTCATCGTGGAGAAGGAATTCAGCATCGTAAGGGGAACTTGTGGAAGGCTCACACTTTTCAGGGAGTCACGGCCGCCTTCTCTCTCTTCCTTTGCCTTAACTGTCAGCGTTAGTCTCACCATATCTTCCAAGTACCACAAGTGGGCTTCCAATTTTGACGATGCAGCTTTTGAAATTTTCTTGTTGTGGCATTGACAGACTTTTTGAAGGAGCTGCCGATCGCTGAACGGAGCTGCTGCGGCTATCAGAGCTGTGATTCAGTCTTTCAGGCAGATGGTCGGTACAAACACTATAAATACGCAAGTTTTCTCTCTAGGAGCGAGATTATTTAGCTGCTTCTGGAACATGCCCCATCTTTCTGGCAGTACAAGATTTCTGCCATCCATCGTGCTTGATGCCTTACCCCTGGACATCTGGTTCAGCACCCGAGAATCTTTGCTCAAGACAAAGGGATAGGCAATTCAATGAATTCTCGGTAGTCGTCTCGGTATTATCATAATTCCAGAGCCTTGCCTAGTGCGCTAATTGAAGCACTTCTGTCATCTTCGCCGACAACCAGCAGGATCTCCTCATTATCCAGACACGCAGCAAAGTCGGGCTGGTTTTGAACAAGGAAATATTAGGGCTTGATGTGGGTCCATATCTAGCGCTGAAGACCCGGGTCATCATTTCCCTCGCGTGATAACGGCAAGCATAACGAAAAAAGTTTCTTCCCAATCGCTGTTGAAGACAAACACTGCACCTAGGAACAATCCATTGTCTGAGACAGTTGTACTGAAACACAGTCCGATGATGCACTCTGTCATTTCCCATTCTTGAGAATTTGGGCAATAGCAATTGCTCGCTCTTCACTTGTTCCCCTAGCAAGTTTTGGAGCTCCAGGCAGCTGACATTGGCCATTGGTGGCGCTGATAATGCCTGCAAGTCGCTCTACTTGTTCGTTTGAATTTAACAGATCTGGAATAAGCTTGTCATGAATGAACCGTCAATACCATTCCTAAGTTGCTGCGGTGATGCTCTCAGTGTCATTTGATGGAGGAACGACTAATGTTGAGTTGCTCAGGTCAGCTCACTGACAGTGACAAAGAAATATGTACAATCAACATACATTTCTTCGCAGATTTTACGCATTAAGATACTGAAGAAATTCCAGAAAAAAAATATATAGGTCAGGACGAAAAAATGTTGTGCACGATCAAAACCACTAGTAACATGGTTCTCAGACAAATAGATTAAAACCAAACAAATCCCTGGGCCCTGATGAACTGTTCTCAAGGGTTATAAAGAAATGTGAGGAGGCACTTAGCAAATCTTTGGCTAGTCTTTTCAACAAATCACTACAAAGTGGAATAGTGACAGGTAAGTGGAAAATGGAAGTGATACCAATCTACAAAACAGGAGAGAGTTCCTTAGCTTCGAATTATAGACTAATTAACCTAACCTCCATTGTGGGAAAACTGATGGAATCAATAACTGCCGAGGCTATTCGAAGGCACCTTGAAACACATAAATTTTACAAAGGGGTGTTCCTTCCATACGAATTTAATATTTTCTTTCTCACTACGGTAGCTAAGGAGGTAGATCATTGTAATGGCTATGATATTGTGTATATGGATTTCAGTAAGACTTCTGATAGAGTTCCACATCTGAGACTGATGAGGAAAATAGTGGCATACGGAATAGGAGGAGAATTTCTTCCTGGATCGAGGCGTTGTTGAGAGAAATGGGGAGAAATCAGAGTGGGGACGTGTCACAAGCGTGTTCCACAGGGGTCAGTGTTGAACCATTTGTTGTTCACAATATACTTAAACGACATAGATGGGGAACAAATAGCGACATAAGCAAATTTGCCGATAACACTAAAACAGGCCGTCGAATTAATTCCAACGAAGACACTAAAGCGCTGCAGGAAGATATGAATGCAGTGGTCGGAGAAATGGCAGATGCAGTTTAATGTTAAGTTCTAAGCCTGGGAATAGAGAATAACCATGACACTTATAAATAAATAATGTAGATCTCAGTTACTCTGCGAAAAGTATTTAGGAGTCTGGTTACCAGTGATCTAAAGCCAAGACAACACTGCGTAAGTGTTCACAATAAAGCGAATAGAATTCTTGGGTTCAT